AAAAACTAGTACTAGCAGCAGCAAATACTAAGTCTCGAGCTGCATCAACGGTATCATCAATCATGCGCAAGATCTGCTACCAGTACGCGCACATACAACGTGGACACAGCGTCAGGGAAGAGTAACGTACTATGTCCATGCCGCTTTCCCCGGCAGTCAGCAAGAGTTCAAGTTTGGAGCCATGTGTAGTTTCTGAAGCCGTCTGTAGGTGGTTGGAAGAAAGCACGAGAGAGAGAGAGAGAGAGAGAGAGAGCGAGACAGAGAGAGAGACAGAGAGAGAGGGAGAGCGAGAGATAGACAGAGAGATGGCGAGATGGCATGGTCAGCGCCTCAGTTGTGCAGGAAAGGTGGGCGCATGAGGGGGGGGGGGTAGCATATACATATATATATATATATATGCATACTATAAAAAAGTTTATATATACACAAACTAGATGTTTGTTTCATTTGATTTTCATTGTTTTTTGTCGTCAGTAATACTAGATTAAACTGCCCAAACCCCCTTCAACTCGCAAGAAGAGAATTCCGGCCTTGACCTTCACCGGCGCATCCTCACCAACCATCGGGCCGAAGCCCATGTTCATCCTCGGTCGCTGACCCTCTATACTCCAATATATCAGATGTGGCTTTTTCGTACTAATTGCAATAACACACTGATATTGTGCAATATCAGATATGTGAATATTCAGTATAATCGTGATATACATGTTGCATTGTATTGTGTTTGTCTCTCTTTGTGACCCTTGCTCTCCCGGTCTCTTCACGTCCTCCTCTGCTCGCTGGCTGAAGTCTCTCTCTGATATGCCCAAACGCCGGATTGCTAGCAGCTACAAGCGAGCACATCTCCAGACAGCCAGTCTGCAAGGAGATCGGAAAAGGCGCGGGCTTGAAGCAGCCATCGTCCACTATGCGGACAATCCTCGCTGTGTCCTTGCACACAACAAGAAAGCCCACAAAAGCTTGAGCAGCCCGAGAGCTCAACACGTAAAGCTGCAAACTTGTTCTGAACACACCACATAACCCCATCAGTTCTGGGTCTTGCTCCAACGTGAAGTAGACATCTAGCTATGTTCGTTTTCACCAATGCACAGCTTCAGGGTCTTCCATGGCATATCAGCGCGGCGAAGCCCACCCACACTTTTTGCTCTCACGCAATCAACCTTGTTCAATCCGCGCAGGACTGCCTTCGGCAGCTGATTAGCACCATTAACCATAACAGCCAGCAGAATCACAACACACATGATTGCACGTAGGACGTAGCAAAAATACCGGCAGCAACGCCAGGAGAAGACGGTTGTAGGGAGTGGGATCGCTCACGATTATCCAAGTACTGTACCGAAGTGTCTGAGAGGATGGTAACAAGATCTGTCAGCACTCCTGGTCCTGTGCAAGTGCAGCCGAGAATTCAATGTCGCAGCTGCACTGAGAAAGAGAGGCGCGGACCGATCTTAGGATGACGACCGGCAAGGCGCTGAATTGGCTGAGCTACGCTTTTGGGAGCTTCCTCTGGACAATCCTGCCGAAGCGGTGGGACATTTGCTGAACTGCGAACGCCAAGCTAGGAATTCTGGGCTTCGGATGCCCAAGAGGAAGCAACCGACCCGGCTCTGTCATCCTAAATTCACAGCAGACCGCAACATTCACTTGATGGCGTTGAGTCTAGAGATCATGCCCGCCACTTGGCATGTCTAGCACCACTGACAGGATAGAGCTCAAGATCTCCTCATGAAGGCAGGCTAGTGTTCCGTGCAATATGCTGTGGCTGCTTCGGAACTGCGCTGACAGAAGCTCAGGAAACCTTGTACGATCAACTTGCTGTTTGGCTACTCATGAGTCATGAGATACCACTTGCTGCAGGATCTGCTGGATCAGAATGAAAAATGCCGGAAGCATCGAAGCAGTGGCTGAGCCGTGGCCGCATAGTGTTTCTTCTAGCTGTGTTCTTATGCAGGTTCTGGCATGATGGGAGCTGAAACCCAGGCCACGGCATCTTGCCAGAACATGCAAAGCGTCGGGCTTAAGGACACGAAGAATCCTCCTTCCGAGGAGGCCGCATACATATATCTTATATTTACGCTTGTTGTTTATGTTTAAAATGTGTTCATACTTAGGTTTATAAACCGTTTATACGATCTTCTATCATCTTAAGTACATCTATAAACCTTTTTCTTTCGCCAGGGCTGGGTGGGGGAGTTGCCTCCCCATCTACCTACCTGCCTGCCTGCCTGCCTGCCTACCTAACTACATAACTACCTACCTACCTGCATACCGACCGACCGACCGACCGCTATCTGTCTACAAACCTACGTACCTATCTATATGTCTACCTGAGTATCTATCTGTCTATCGAGAGGAGTGATGTTGCCTTTGTTTTCGCTCTCAAGCCCTCCAGTCTCAGCCGACTTGTCTTTGGAGGGCCTTTCATGACAGGCTGCCATTCTCTCGAGTGGAAACGTGCTGAGGCTGGTCGCACGAGGGCTTTGTGCCCGAATTCAGCAGTCTGTGCAAGATTAATTCGTTGTTTCCAGGGGCTGCTTGACATCTCAAGCCCGTCTGAACGAAGATTTCGAAGGCATGCAATCCTTTCTACATCTGGCATACCCAGCTGAAGCCGCTAGACTGGAGCCGCCTGCCAAGCAGAAAGGGGAATCCACCGCCCTATACCTCAAGACGCGCTTACGGCAGGGTTTTGAGACGGCATGGTGAATCCGTCGTCCCAGGGCTCAACGAAGGCCGAAGTTTTCGAGTCTACCGGCAATCTTTTGGAAGCGTGCTCGAAACAATTCAACCCCCGCCCTTTGTCGAGCCTCGTCATGCAAAGGTCCCCAAGCGTGCTGCAGGTCCATAAACACTTGACCAAGCTCTCCTGCACTTTGAGATGGATACCATGCCAATGTAAATCCCAGACAGGTGTCATTGGACAGCAGGTGCCCTCAAGAAGGCTATGATGCATCATGGTTCCTGCAATCCCGGCAAAGCTACAAGAAAACAAGCTGTGCCGAAGTTAATCCCAAAGTTCCATGCAGGCTCGCCAAGCGATGGTATGTGTCTGTCAGCGCAGCACAGTGTGCATCCATGTTTCTCCTTGGAGCAGCTCACCATGGGGAGATGCACTCTTTGCTTCCACTTCATGCTATCACTCAAACTCGCTGTTTACGGAAGCAGAGCAATTTGAAGTTCAGCATACATGTAGCCCGCAGGGCAACGAAGTCATCTGCTGCCACCACGGCGATGCCCAAGCTTTCTCAGGAGATGCAGAGTATCCGAATGCAGCGACAGCGATCCGTCTCCCGATGTCAGAACGCTGGCTAGCATGATGGACGAAAGCACCAGAACGAGTTATTTTTGTAAAAAGACAAGAGCCATGGATCGCGAAATCACGTTTCACTACATGCGCAACTACTCGACACGTTTTCCCCACCCCGCAAGAAAACAGGACGATGACGAGCTGCAAGTGAGCGTGCGCGCTCGACTCCAGGGCCTGCAGTCCAACGCAGAACGTGATCGCAAGACCAGAGCCCAAAGAGTCCAAAGGTTCAAGAATTATCTTAAGCCCAAATAGCCTACCTTCTTTAAGGACTTATATATAGAGTTCATAATCAGGGGCCCTAAAAAGGTAGGTTCTTGAGGGTCCAGGTAAGGACTCTCTCTTCTTTCCAGGCTGCTTGTCGGCTGCATGCGCTTCGATCCGACCACGCCTCCGCGAACGGCATGTTACTGAGTTGCCATGACATCACGCATGACCACTTCTGTCTACGCAGGTCTTTACGAGACATGAGAGCTTGACCTGTGAAATCGGGGCCTCGGGTGCACGAGCTTGCGGAGAGAAGCTGCCTTCCCAGCGAACGCTGTGACCTCCCTGCCTGCAATGGCATGGCAAGGCAACGTCGGCAGCACAGCTTGGGACTTAAATATCACACCACTTGGCCAAAGACCCTGCCAGAAGCGCTTACGATGGACTGCTTCCACACTGTTCGGGACAGCCTCGGAGCAGCTCGAACCGGAGCCTCTGCCGCTGGGCCTTCCCCAGGGTGCAAGTCTTACACGCTGTAACTTGACGACGTGCTCGGCAGGCATGCTGCATCACATAGCCTAAGCCTGCCAACTTGACGCACCCCTGCGCACGGCAAACGCTGTCGGTGTCCAAGCCTCGAGGAGACACTCCACGGTCGTCATAGTACCCAGGCACCGGAAGGAAGGCCTCAAGGTACAATAAGATTTCACAGCCCACCTGAAGTACTAACGGCTCCAATCGAAGTGAAAACCAAGACAATCGCTCGGCTCACTCCTGGATCCTGGTGCGCTGAATACTGCTGGAACCTTTGGCACAACTGAAACAGTTATTCCAAATTCGACCAATCAGCAAAACCTGCGAAAAATGTGCATGAATGTCCAGATAACCACTAGGCTGTGCCGTGTCTTGGGTCCTTTGTATTCCTCTGAACTTTCCCAGTTCCCTCGACGAGCCCGAACGGTGAGCCTGCTGCAGTTGTCCCGAAACGGGTGAGGGATGTCCCAACGTGCCATCATCAGACAGTGAAGAGCTCCTGTGCGGTAATAGAGCTAACACAGCAAGGAGGGAGCCGAGTTCATTTAAAATAAGCATTGGCGAGGCATTACCGATCTAGTCTGCGAAGAGTTAGCTTCACGAAACCTTCTGCATGATTGCTGTCGATGTGACCAACACTGACCAACACTCATGTCATTCAAGGCCCCGGCGTATTCCGTGGAGATTGCGGGCATACCGTTGATCCGGTCATGCGCTGCCATCGCCGGGACTTGATCTCCACGGTATCGAAGCTGCTGTGGTCGCTGGGCGCTTTCTCTCGCGCAGCTGAGCAGAGGGGTTCCTTGGTCTGCACTCTGCATGTCACTCCATTGTCAGCAATCCGGGCAATCAGCATGCACGAAACCCAAGCGCAACAAAGCTGCTTGAACCTCTGGCATAGCTTGAGAGGAGGTCTTGCGCGCACGGCTAGTGGCTGGTGGCTGATGAGGCCTGTCGATTGACCGCCCATTTTCTGGGAAGCCCTGAAAGCAAAGCCTACTGGCAGGCCGTCGTGGGCACTCCTCGGCCATGCTTTGTCCTTGCAGCATAACCTCGATTCTTAGCTTTCTACCCTCATCTACCCTCTATCTCTCTCTCGACCAGAATTCTGGTCATTACTTGTAGCGAGGCTTCTCTTGTTTCAGAAAGCTCATTGCCTTTCTGCCAAGCTAAGTGGGCCTGCTCTCTGAGTGGGCTGGCCGTTGCCACCGCGCCGGCTGCTTGGAAGAAAGGTAATCCTGGGATCAGTCCAGGGTTTAGCTTTAGGCACTCGTTGGGGATCCGTGGCAGTCTTTTGACCGGGGAGCTCGAGCATCGTGCAGCTGTCGGAAGAGAGAAGCACGGCCACCCTGGCCCGGATGACACTTGGTTACGAGCATCAGCTTGGCTTCCATCGTTCGGTCACCTACCTTGTCCGGGTGGTGTCGAAGGGCTTGCTGCCGGTAGTTCCTGGCCACATGGCTGGCTGGGTATTCAACGCTCAAAAGTGGCGAGGTCAAGCTCCAAGGGCTTAAAGTGAAGTATGACACAGCGATGTCTGCTAATCCTCGCGCAGCTGTTAAGCAGCAGCATGATGCAGCCGGGCAGCTTCTGTATCGATTCATACCCATCGTCTGGAGTTACTCCCAGCACTTCGCAGCCTGCTACAGTGCTACAAAGATGGCTGACAGGCTTTTATGGTCTTGCACTCCTGCTTACAACAAGGAACTGTGCTAGTAAAAAACAACTGCTGAGCAGAGATGGGCATGCGAGCACAGCGCCAGCTCGTTCCTAGTCCTAGCCCCATTCACCGTGCATGATGCCACGGCCAAGAACAGCTGAGTTGCTATCAATCGTGTGCCAGCCAGGAGATTGTCGCTGGGATCCATGGCTTGCCTCCTCCTCAGTACAGGGCGGCGAGGTGTTTCTAGCTCATTTTGGCTTCTTCAGCTTGCCCGCAGGGTGTTAGACTGTCAGTGAGCTGAGGTCCGAGCACTCGACGACGCCCTTGGTCGATGGCTTCTTGCAACCCGCCCCAGTGATGAGGAAAATGCCAAAAGGTCAGTGTCACTGGCTGTTGGAAACTTCAGCTTTGCTGACAAATGCATTGTGCCGGCACTGCGGAGCTTGGGCTGGTTTACTGTTCCTGCAAGGGACTGACTCGCTCTGGAGGAAGGTCGATGCCGATGTGGATGCTCATCATGGTCCAGAACAGGGACCTTTGCCTCCGGCGCAGGCGGCAAAGCCACCGAGCTTTCGGCCTGGACCAGCGACGAGATAGTCTCAATGTTTACAACTATTAACCAACCTTCCTGCAACTACTACTACTACGACGACCACCACTACCATAATGTTGCTATTACTGCTCTATCCAGTAGTACTATCACTACTGCCCTTTCCTTCAAAGTTGGCTTCCCAAAATTCGCCTCTCTACACAGCAGGTACTCAGCCTTCTGCGACACCGATGCCACTCCACGCCGCAAACTGTGGTTCACCTGCCTGATCACAAGACAGAACTACGGAAACTGCGACTCTGGAGTGCTCGCATGCAACGAAGCGACTGAGAGCTGGCGGCTGCTCGAATAGTTTCACTCGAGTCGGAGATGTCCTATGCAGGCAAAACCTCTTTCAATAAAGGAGGAAAAGCCCCATGCCAGCTGCACTTGGTCCTCTGACTCAGGATCCCAGCTCTCGGAAACTGACTCTGAAGGTGCCAGGGGCGGGTCCGGAGCGTGGGCGACGGCACTGGCGACGGCATTCCTCGGACCATCCATGTGCCATGCCAAATTCCTGCATGACATGCGGTATGACCCTTTCAAAAGCAGTGGAGCACCTTCTGCCAGATTCAGCTTTCATCTAGCCGCTCTAGCCTTTCCGACTCCCGCTATGACAACTGGAAACAACAGTTTCAAGCAACACAGGCTCACCCTGCGCGGACTGGAGGAAGTGTGGAAGCCAGGAGTACATTATCGAGGGATTTTTAAGTTGAACTCCGAGTTCTTCTCAGATCATCCCAGCACAACCAAGAAAGAACAGACCTTCATATGCTACAGAGGAGCCGAAATACGTCCTACTCATCCGAGCCACTGGCGCCCACCAGACTGGCTGAAAGGGATGTGCACCGGCACCTCCCCCGTTAAATCCAGCATCATCTCGCAGGCTTCGTTTGCCTGAAAGCGAGGAAACTCCAGGGAGCAGGAACTTGGGCCTTTGGTCCCTGCCGTGGTACACGCTCGCCACGCAGGATCCAAGCTGCCAACCTTTCGAGTCGTAGACGGGGCTGCTTTTATCCTCAGCCGGTGCAGCTCAAGACCGCGAGCTTAAACATTCCCGGCCCCGCGAGCTGCAACGTCTAGCGCTGGTGCATCCAAGGCACAAGCTCGAGCAGGCTGCACTGATCGGGTATGGCGGCGGGTCGGGGTTCAAGTTGATCGTTCGCTCTTGCCTGACCTCGTCGCGTTGACAGAACGGCTTGCCTGACTTTCTTCCTCCTCGCAGGACCACCTGCTTCATTTTCCCTGCGCCTTCACTACTTGCAGCACCCTGTGCTTCTAAGCTCCCCAAAAATCAGGCGAAAGCCAGCAAGCGTAAGTGCCGCCTGTGAAGTCGGCAGGTCACGAGATGCAGCAAGGCAGAACAACAAAATTTCAGCAGGCACCCGGTCGTCGACGGCAGCAGTCGATTCTCAAACGGTAAACTCCTGCTTAGCTCTGTTTCCTGTGTCAAGTCTCGCCATCCAGCATTTGTTATACAATGTTATCTCTCCGGGAAAACGAATAGCGGGAAGCTCCATGCACGTACTTTGACTGAGCTGCCATGAGCTCCTGGACCGGAACCGGTGTCGTGCCGAGATCCAAGCTGGCGGACCTCGATCCGTCTTCCAAGCCACCACCGGTTGAACAGTAATGAATTGAGCATGTACTCGCTCGATCGAGCTGCCTGGCACCCAGTGGTAGCGAGCCCGCACTACTTGTGCTAAGCGGTGGCGATGCGCACAAAGTGATAGCAGCCATCTCCTTGACCTGAGCTGAACACTGGCATTGGGATCGACCAACTCGATGGCTCGAATGCCGCGCATGGCATAGCTCTACACAATTTCCAGTATCATATCAACAATGACAAAGAATTGGCAATTCTCGCACTTGTCACGATGAAATGCAGCGAAGGCTCTGACTCTGGTGCCGGCGGCTGGGCTCGCGAAACCTGAGCGTGATTCTGATGGGATTAGTGGCAGGACGAGAATTGCAGTGGACACACATCGTCTCAAGTTCGCACCTCCGCAGGAGGCTTTAGACGCCCCAAGCCACCACGCTGATCTCCCTGCAGGCTCCTCCTCGGCAGCTACTCTCTGCACCATGCTCAAAGTCGAGTGGTCGGCACGAGAAATTTGAATGTCCTCTAGCCTGCTGACTAACGAGCGAGAGCAGCATCACAACGGATTCAAAGCATTGCTGCAGCCGGCTCCCCACCCCTCTTAAATACCATACGGCCCATCGGTAGCAGCTTGCCAGCAAAAATTGACGTGTGGAAGAAGGTCCGGGACCCTGGCGCTCCGCCCATGTCGTCGCCGTGCGCAGATTGCCGTGCCTCCATGTAATCCTTGATGCCAGGCGTGGATGCTGCAGAATGTCGTGTAAACATTTCTCTGCATGAAACACGAGACCTAACGAGAACATAACCGCCAATCCTTGCCGGAACACTCGCCACAAGATCCACAAGCTCTGCAGCACCCCTCTTGCTGGGCTGGGCTGCCTGTTCGTCTCTGCATCAGCTTCTTTCTCAGTCAAGCATCTCGGGCGGCTTGCAGCTGTGTGAATTGGTCGTGGCTTCCACCTTTGTCCGGATGGCGTTTTAGAGCACCACGCCGGTACTGCCTCAGGAGCCGTCCTAGATGCAGCGAAAAAGCAAAGCTGCATCAACAACGGCAATGGGTGCGCTTTGCTTCGACCCGAACGGCTTGGATCCCGAAGCCAGGCCGCTGCTGAATGAAATCCGGGCCATCATCTGGCGACACACCGAGGATTCGGCAGCCTGTTGGACTTCTTCGCGTTGCACATCACACGAAACACAACAACTCAGACCAACCATTTTAGCTGACCTGGCAACGAAACCGCGACCAAGTTGCTATGCAAGGTCTGGCGGCCAGCTCGTCGATCTGCACAACGCTCCGAGTTTTCCTGCTCTTGGTTCGTACTCTACCATTTTTCTGAAAAGTAGAATGCGCATCCTGACCCAGCCCAGTCGAACAGCTAGATTCATTTGTCAGCTCACACCAACAGCCACCAAAGAAGCGCCTGAGTTCCGCTGGCAAACTGCTCATCGGATCTTGTGCTGGGAGGCTCCACGATGGAAGAGGTCCTTGGTTTCTTGTCCACAGCACACTGCGGGCATATGGAAGGGACCCCTAAACCCCAAATCCTAAACGCTAAGTGCGCCGAGCTGCAGCTGCACCAGGTCCATGCTGGCTGTCACTTCTGCGGCCTGCGCATCAGATCTCTCATCTGAACTCCTCATGCCGTCACTGCATATGCAAAGCCTCCAATTCGTGTAATTTTCACAAAAAGAGTATACCCATGTTTTTGGAAAGCTTACGTGCATACCTACTATGTGATGTCATTACAGAAATAGTCATGGTACAAGTGTGATCGTAGCTGTAGTCGAGCGTTTACATGTGCTCCTCTTCAATGTCTCACCGTCTGTTCCAAGCCTCAGGTTCTTTGGCCAATGCATCCCGAGCTGGTCTGCGCAGCCTTTGGTGGACGTCTTGAATTTGGCACCTCACGGCTGCAAATCAAAAGCTCAAACAGCCACGAGATTTAAACACGAGGCCACAATCCCGCTGCAAATCCAAATGCAAGGTGGCTGATTGGGCATACCTGGGAGTCTCTAGAGAGTGAGCGTCCCCCTCAGCTGCCTAGGAGCGAAGAGGGCCTAGTGTGGTAATGAGATGTGCCCTCCAAGCGAGATCCACGCGTGCCTGGGTTCTGTTTACGTGCCGTCCAACTTTACACCAGGCTTCAATCACAGAAAGTGAAAGACGGCCAGTTTCATCCGATTTCTGAATTCCTTTTCTGTCCCACCGTGGATGCTACGACAGTGATATATAGCTGCAGTTCTTCCACTATTCTCGTGGTTCTCGTAGTGACAGCGCAGGAATCTACCAAACTGTCATACACATACTGTCTTTAGGGGTTAGTGCAAGTTACGTTGGGTAGCAATGCAACGAGCACCCCAGTTTGCAACCGGATGCCACCATGCAGCTCTTTCGATCTCAGCTGCTCCTCCTGGTTGGGAGAAATTTTAATGAGAGCGGGCAGGAAAATTGAGATCCTCAACTATCATCTCTTGATCTACATCTACAGCGCCATAGCCTTCCAAGGGCGCAAGGTCAGAAAGCCACAAGACTCCCTGAACCTACAGGCTTTGAAGTCATACTTGGCGGCAGCTATTGAACTGTTTCTGGTATAAGAACAAATACGACTTCGCTGTCTCTCTAAGAGAACTGGCACAGATCACCAATGAGACCGGCCGCTCCTGAAGCTTCCGCTCACTCCACTGGTCCGCACGAGAACGCTCCTGCGAACACAGATTTTTGGTCACGTTGACACGGGCGTGGCCGGCCCTAGCTCAAAAGTCAGGGTGCCAGTGCCCCCCTCTTTGCTGCTCCACTCGTTCTCATGGGCTGGCCTCTTGTCGCCGAAGTTGGCTCTCGGATTCTTCCAGCTGGCGGGCTTTTTGAAGCTGCTGGTGCCATTGCCTCATACTGGCAAATTCAAAACAGTTAAGAAAGGCAAGAGAAGTGGCATCAGCAAACACAAACATCGGAATGAATTCGAGCGGCCGTTGCTGCAACCGCTTCTCCTCCACAATGCTCGATCGGCGTCCCAAGGAACCGGCATCAGAGTTCTGTACGCTGCGTTCCGCTGCCTCGCTGTGACGTGCTGAGCTGCCCCTGTCGAGACTCTTTTGGCTGTGAGCCCCGCTCCGCTGGGAGGCCAGGCCGTCTAACGTGTCGGACTTCTCTTCCAGCATGCTCTGCAGGTGCTGTCTTCTGGATGGGCTGCCCCGCGGCTCCAAACTCCCTTCGGGCCCGCCGCTTTGTCCCAGCCTGATCTGCGACCTCTTGCCTCAGGTTCACGACACAGGGGGTTCCAAAAGTGTCCCGCTCTCATCTCGATCCCTCTTGATGCAGTGCCTGAAGAGCCACTTGCACACAAAAGACCAGAGAAAAATCCTAGGGTTCGATGAAGCATCAGGTGACTACCGTCTCGCTTCACAAGCCAGGAAGCCTCTGCAAGTTCACCTGAAGCCTGAACCTCTGTAGCTTTTGACCGAAGCTGCTTGAACTTCGTCCATGCGAGGTTTGTGATTCCGGCAGAACGATCATGTACTGCATCGGCTGGTCATAGATGCTTCCCTGGCAAATCAACGTGACTTTGTTGAATTCGCGAAAGTTGCTGCACTTGATGCATCCTCTTTTGCCTTTTGCCTGCAGCCACTTCCGGTACACACTTGTTGGATGCAGGATTGTCATGTTGACCTGCAGCCGCCTTAGGGAGGGATCTCTCCATCGGATGGCAGCCAGTGGAGGGAGGAGAGGGGTGAGCTTGACCCACACAAGGCTCGTACCTTGGATTTTCCATAACCTCATGAATCAAAAGCCTACCAGTATACATATGTCATCCACGATAGCATAGCAGAGCTGAGGCTTCGAGACATGACCCGACGAGTTGATGATACACTGCGGATTCTGCAAGCATCTGGGAATCTAGGACCCGGAGAGTAGGCTGGCTGGCAGAGGAAAGTTGCACTGGCTTGCAGAATTTGTCAGTGCCTGTGTAGAGAACGATGATGGGCAGAGAGACACAATCTGTCCCGTGAGTTTTGACACTACTAGTAACTACTAGATTACTAGAACAACACATGCAAGCTCGCGTCGTTCGTATGCCAGAAAAGCCGCATTGAATCTTGCCGCCGTGTCTTCAGAGCCGGGCATGTCGCCCGGCGACTTTGCTTTGGGCCGCGAAGCTCCCCGAAGTGTGGCGGAGGCGGTGGGAGGCTCTGAGGAAGGACCGGCGGCTGAGCGCACATGTCATGGGCCAGAATCGACAGACCCTGCAGCTTCCTTTGAGACGAAGAGGCCTGCGGCAAGGTCGACTGCATGGTCCACTTCGGGTGCAGAGCATTGCATGGACCATGTATGCGTCGTGATCGTTGCGTCCCAATACAATATGGAAAGCAATTTGGCGGGCTACACGGCGCAGTAAGCCCGTCTTTCTACTCGTCCTGGTTGATCTCCTCCCACGTAGCTCCACCTGGCGTGACATTGAAGCAGAAGCTTTCTTGCAGGCCTCATCTCAGGAAGCTCAGACACTTCTGATACAATGCTGTCCTTCTTAGACCTTCTGGATCACTGGTCACTCGACTGCTATAGTTTTAGCCTGCCTACCCTGATATCAATGATTATCGGTAGGAGGCGCGCAGTCGAGCGCTCCGGCCAAGTTGTTCATGTCCGCCACCTCACACAGCCACGACTACTCCGTGCAGAAGAAGGGTTCATGTTCCTGGGTGCGGTCAAGAAGGCCTTCGTCCATCGTGAGCCATCACATAATGCAACAGATCTTGTGGGACTGCGGATGTAACGCAGGCAAGTTGTCTTGTTTCTAGCATCGGTTTGTTGAGTTGCTGCTCTCAACTCCGACGTGTGTTGTCGGCTCTCACACAGATCCTGCAGTTCAGGACCTCCGGGGTCTCACTGCCAAATTGGCCGGCGCTTAGGGTGCTTGGAGCTACTTCCGGGACCTGTCCTTGACGCCGAGGCCGGAGGTTTGATGCGTCTTGAACTGGTTCCGATCGGCGGGTTGCCCACGAGTTTGGGCATGTGTCCCTCCAATGCGTATTTTTGCTCCCCACCCCCTCCGCCCCTCTTCCGACCTCCTTATCCCACGTCTTCCATTCTGCCTTGCAGAGGCATTTCGGTTGTGGAAAGTCACCTCTCATTTCTTCTGGCAGTCCCCGATCCCACGACTCGTGCGTTTGAGTTGAGGGGCTGCCCTGCAACGATTCGCTTACTGCTTCTGATGGTTGTTATGACTCCTCGGCTTTCCTGGGTGCTCTGTACAGCTCCGCGTCTAACCCCGGCCTCTTCCTTGGTGGCACCGTACGGCGAGCAGTGACCTAAGCTTTTCGGAAGCTTCGCGAGGGATCTCAGGGTTCATAAAGGGCTCTGGCTCGGCACCTAGGCCTTGGCTTCATGGGCCTGGGTTTCAGTGTCTTCTGTTGGCTGAGCAGGCGGCACACGCTCAGCGGAGCGTAGAACGTGAAGTAACCGGCACCAGGCCAGGTCCTGCGCACTCTCATGCTGGATGTAAGGCCAGTTTATCCGCTTGAGGGACTCAGAGCCTCGCGCAAGTCGCTCTTTGAAGCAGGGCTCTGTCTGTAGCTATGCCTGCCCCTGCAACCCCGAGCTCATGTCAAGCAGTTACATGCACGAGTCTACGACATCTCATGCAGCGCGATACCGGCAGCACGTCTGCAGCAAAATGTGCTCTTCCAACTTCCATCTGAGCAGAGCCTGCAATGAACACGGCATTCATTGGAGGATTTGAAGTTCCGAGGCGACCTTGGCACCCAAGGCTCAAGGCAGGATTTTTGGGCTTTGGGCGTCTGCGCCAAGCACGGGCTTCACTTGCTCAGGCACATACTCGACGATCGTGGGATGGTAGGCAATGCCAGGCCTTGCCAAGGGCAAACATCTCTCTACACGATGCTGCGCATGGGAATATCACGACTATTGGCGGACCATGGCAATGGCAAGAAGAAGCCACGTGTCAGTTTCCTTCTTCACACACTAACCACACCAGCCCTGAGGACTGGAGAAGGCCTGGCACAGTCGTCCATCTCCACCTGCACCTTCTTGATCTGCGAACCTTCGCTTGGGGAAGATTCAAATCGAGGGCACATGCATGAAGACTGAAGGTCAGCCAACATCGCTGTGGAAAAACCTCGCAGCTTCCAAACTGTGTGATCAACTGCACACACAAGTAACCCGACACATTCTTCTCCCAGGCTCTACGGATTCGGTGGCAAGCAGACTTGTCGCAGGACCCACGAGGAAGAACTTTGTCTCTCATACGATATCTCTCAACATGAAAACTACCGCGATCTTGCCCCGGAAGATGACCAGATTCAGAAGCGGCATCCCGCACTATTTCTCGAAACACGGTATCATCACTATTGCAATGATCGCCAAACGTGTTGCTTGACTTTGGGCGAAGACTTGCCACAGGCAATTGCTTGTGGCAAGTTTTCGCCCAGAGTCAAGCAACATGTGAAGCCCGATGACCGATGCACAGAATCACGCTTCTGGAGTCCAGCAGTGTGGTTCAACGCACTGGGCCTCAAGTTTGGGCACCTGGAAGCGCTTTCCCTTCTCCCACACAGATTGTTCCTGCGCCACTTCTGTCTCCTCTCCGCGAGGGTCTCCTGCCTTTTCGTCGCCTTTCGAATGGGGGCAATCAACGCCAGCCCAAATTCAGCCACCAGATTGGGAGCGCAGCATTCCCAACACCAAACACTGCTTTCTGCCTCAATGAACCGTTGGGTTCGCAGACCGTGAGCTGAACCGCGGAAGCCGCAAGGAGAGAGACCGTCAGCAGGTCACTGGAGGCCCCAGACCGCACAAGCTGCGCTCCCAATAGTTACGAGTGTGCTGCCCATTCAGAAGCACACTCGTAACTATTGGGAGCGCAGGGTGTGTGGTCTGGTCCGTGGCTTGCACGGATGCGGTGGGATACTCCGTCCGCGAAACCAGTATCATACCTGGGCCCATTCAGGACTGGTCGTTTTTATGTGACATCCGTGAAAAGGACGACCAGTCCTGAATGGGCCCCAGGGCATCTCGAACACATCGGCCTGGTCGAATGGCTGATATCCCTATTCTTCTGGCCCTCCGGAGGATCTAAGCAAAGACCGCAATTTTGAGTCGTTCGGAGCAGCGCTCATCGTCTGGCTCCGGTTCGGGACTTTGCGAGCAGTCTTTCGACCCTGCCATCGCGGTCATGCAACCTCCGAGCTGGGTTTAAGGCTTTGGCACTCGCTCCTGCGAGTGTTTGGGGTTTGTGCTCTCACGGCCCTGACACGGCAGGCAGCGCTGCTTCGGGTTCTCGGGAGACTGTGTGCTAACGAGCCAGAAGATGCGGCATTGCCAAGCAACGACGCTGAGCGCTTAGGAACTTCAGGGTTCATGGGCAAATGAAATCCCCGGCACGACCCTCTCTCTATGTGCACTGGCGGGACGGAAACGAATTGCACTGGGCAAAGCAACACCGAGGCCTACTGTACAAGCCGAGCTCCCGACGATCCTTCTGAGTCTGGATTAAATTCTCCCTTGGTCGTTGGCTGTGGTGCAATGTACTATGGATTGCTGACGATGCCATGTGCATCAATGTCCGTACAGCATAAGTACATAACATACATACATACATACATACATGCGGACAGACAGACAGACAGACAGACAGACAGACAGACAGACAGGCAGGCAGACAGGCAGGCCGGCAGGCCGGCAGGCCGGCAGGCCGGCAGGCCGGCAGGCCGGCCGGCAGGCAGGCAGGCAGGCAGGCAGGCAAACATATAACCATGCATGCACTCATGCATACACACTCGCATATTAGATAGATTCTAGATATTTATATATATATATACACACATATAATTATATATATATATATCTATATGTGTGGCAACCGCCGGAAATTTGGCAGGCGATTACTACGAGTGCGTGTGTGTGTGTGTGCGAAAGCAAAAACGGCAAGCAAATGCCTTCCAGGTGCACGGCTCGTTTGTCTTTTCAGTAGCTCCCAACACCGCAAGTTGCGAACCGTCCAAGACAACTGGATTTCTTATTCGTACGCTGAAGTAAAACTACAATTTGGCAACTCGTGCTGGCCTGCTGCTGCTCGCTGTTTATGTTTAGTTCATGCCATGTGTGGTGTCACACGCATCCGTGTGCCAAACATTCACCATGATGGAAGACCCACCAACACGACGCCCGCGTGCCGAACGTTAACTCCCGAGCTCACGTCTTAATTTCTTTATTAGTACCAGCACACCGGATCCGCGTACCGAGCGTTCACTTCTCGCGGCTGTTGCGGTAACTTTAGGAAGGGCTCCATTTTTGTCAGTTCGTCGAACCAAAGATGTCGTTGAGGTCGCTGCATGCGTGCGCGTGCCGGTTCGACTCCTGCTGCTCGCCGTCAAAAATATCCTAAACCAGGCCGCTGCACAGCCTTACACATGACATGCGGTTGTTGCTGCATGATGATCACACGGCATCCACCGAGCGCTGACACTTTTACGGCGTGTTAAACCAACATGACATCCGCATCCGAACGTTCATGTCCCAACCTCATGACTTGGGTTCTCTTGAAATAATAACACCACAAAAGATTTGCCTACCGAACGTTGACTACCGGCGCTGCTACGGTGCTACTGGAGCGTTTCGGCAAGCATGGCCCCTCCGGTCCACAAAAAACAAGTAACACTTTCGATCCGGGTAAGAGCTTTCTTACGGTTGGATCCATGATCGATTCGCACAGGTACCTCGTTTTTGCTACATCTGGGCAAAAAAAGAAGACTTCCACAAAAGTCTCTGATTCGAAACGCAGTGCAATGTCATGCCATGCAAATCCCTGCAACACCAGTCGCAATGCTTTCCCCTCGTCGTCGCTCCTCATAAACTCATGTCACTTCTGTGGATCATGTTCGCACGATCCGCGGACCCTGAACTTGCGCAGCAGGTAACTCGAAGCATCGTTTCCACAGGAATGCGTGCAGTAAACACGCACTCCAAGCTGTTTTTTTCGTAACCGAGCTGTTCCCACTGTTCCCACTTCTCATGCCTGTTCCAGGCCCATTTCAAGCACTGAAGCAATGCACCCACGCCTCTTGCACCGGTGCTGTCCTCAGTTTGCCATCAAAACGAACCCGCACACTCGGACTACACTCGGCTTTCTTGTTGTGTCCAAGTTTTGTGTTGGAACCGTGCCTGTGAGCCTGGAGGAGCGTATCGTCGGATGCGTGCTCATGCC